AGTCATGAACACTGACCTTAACTGAGGCAAGTGAGGCCTGCAGTTCTTTGGATGTTGTTGTGGGGTCTTTTGTGACCTCTTGGATGAGTCGTCGCTGTGCTCTTGGGGTAATTTTGGTCGGCCGGCCACTCCTGGGAAGGTTCTCCACTGTTCCATGTTTTTGCCATTTGTGAATAATGGCTCTCACTGTTGTTTGCTGGAGTCCCAAAGCTTTAGAAATGGCTTTATAACCTTTTCCAGACTGATAGATCTCAATTACTTTCTTTCTCATTTGTTTCTGAATTTCTTTGGATCTCGGCATGATGTCTAGCTTTTGAGGATCTTTTGGTCTACTTCACATTGTCAGGCAGGTCCTATTTAAGAGATTTCTTGATTGCGAACAGGTGTGGCAGTAATCAGGCCTGGGTGTGGCTAGAGAAATTGAACTCAGGTGTGATAAACCACAGTTTTAACAGGGGGGCAAACACTTCTTCACACAGGGCCATGTAGTTTTGGATTTTGTTTTCCCTTAATAATAAAAACCTTCATTTAAAAACTGCATGTTGTGTTTACTTGTGTTATCTTTGACTAATATTTAAATTTGTTTGATGATCTGAAACATTAAAGTGTGACAAACATGCAAAAAAATAAGAAACCAACACTTTTTCACACCACTGTAGCTCTAACAGCATGTTGATTAGTCTGAGTGTGTGAGTTCACCGTGACCTTTGGGACAGCACCGTCAGCAGAAACATCCACCTGTCTGATTATTGTCCCTGTCATTTCCTAAAACTAATGTGTTACACTTCAAGAGCTGTTTGAAGGACGCTGTGTAGCACATGTGTGTTTTGTCTCATAATTCTAGATCTATCTATGTGTATAAATCAGATGGTGTGTGTGTATATATGGGCATGTTGAGCAGGTTTGCTCAACATGCCCATATATACACATGAGCAGGTTTAATTAATTCAGTGTCCTACCTCATTGATCGTGTGCTAATTCTAGGCTATTCTCATATATTTATGTGCCTGCCGATAGCACAAATGAAACAATTATTACTAAATGATTTTATATGATTTCTCTGTGTGTGAGCTGAAATATGACGCATATATTTAGTCATATATATTAATAATGTTTAGGGTTTAATAAATACAGTACAGTAGATCCTGAAAAAAAGCTTTAAAACTTGCTGGTTGTGATGCCTGGCTCATACAGTAGCTCATGAATAATAATGAGGTATGACCTTTATTTTTCAAAATTGTTCAAAACTTAGAACTTGTCCCACCTCAAAAGAGACATTTTAGACAGCAGCTCAAATAATAGTGTTAAAAAGTGCTTTGTACACAGAACATTTTGCTGTATGAGCTGCATATTTCTGTTATTAAAACTCTGATATTATTACAGTAGCTTATTTTCATAGTAAACACTTTCCTGTGAATGTTTCTATGGATTTTAAGGGTAGAAAATGTTCTGTGTGTGTGCCATAATTTTAGGACAGAATTTTTTTTTCATCATTTCTGAGAACGAATGAGAGAAAAAATGAAAGAATGGATGAGAGGAATGGAACACTTTGTCGTTTCATTGGCAGAGTTGTTGTGAGTTTGGATCAGCGCCCAGTGACTTTACCATCAAGTGTTTCCAAAATTAGCCTCTCTTGCTGTAATTTCTACAATGCATTTGACTTCTTTCCTTTTTTTTTACCTCTTTTCCTTCTGTTTTTGACATTCAGTCTGACATAAATCAAAAGAATATATGTTGCCCATCGATAGTGATGTTTATTTGTGACGTCTATTTTGTCTCAGCACCTTAGGTGCTAAACACATTTTTCACTAAAAACATTACACAACTAAGCTGCAAACACGACCAGAATCTTTGGGGAAAAAAAGACCAAAAGCCAAAAAAGAGCATTCAATTTGCACTGGACAATTTATCTTGTGCATGGGCCGGTTCTTAATCCTAGGTTGTGGAAGGCACAGCGGACTGCCGTGGAGATGTTCTGTACTTGCGTTGAAATTACGCTACTGTTTAGTGAATTTTTCATAATCACTGGCCAAATCAGCCTAGTCATCTCTCTCTCTCTTCCAGTAATTCACAAAATTCTGACAATGATTTCGATTCAGAGGAGTGTAAATGGCACAGAAGAAATGCTCACACTGCTTCCTCTGCTCTGCTTTCAATCCCACAGTCCCGCTCCGCAGGCCTTACTACTGTATGCCTAGCTCCCATAGAGACTGAATTGGAAAAACCTGCTCACTTTGTTCCAGTCGACTCTTTGGCCTTTTGAGAAGTAGATTGGATTTACTTCCCAAGTAAGAGCAGCCCAGTGGAGGAGTCCTTTTCAAATGGCACAGTTGTTGTGGCATTCCTTTAAAAGTTGATTCTGTTCATGAGATACTTTATAGCATAACACAAATAGAGCAAAATATGGCCTTTGTGTTTTGTGATATTCAAAACATATTTTGTTAAATAAACATGAATATATTTACATGTTTTAATTGTATTCATAATGTGTTTGCAGGAGTATCCAAATGAAATATTAATTCTCTCTTTCTCTTCTGTTCTTCTTGTCCTCAGGCTGAACTGATAGGCAGATGGTAGGCAGTCTCTTCACGATTAGTTTCTGGGATGGATGAGTGAAAGTGGCTGCTCTCAATAATGGTAGGGGCAGAATGGGGTAAGGTGTGCCAGTATTACTTAAGTTGTCCTCTAGGCAAAATGAAGTCAGAACAATTTATGTACTTACATTTTTGTGCAATCTGCTCAGGCCAACTGATGGTTAAAGTTACTGGTGGGGTTAGGAATTGACCTTTGTTACTTTCATTGTAAAAATGGTATGTTTTCGTACTAATCTAATAATAAATATTCATACGATTGCCACCAGTTTGCCACATCTTAAAATAGAGGAAACAAATAGGGATGAAATGGTTACCAGTTTGACAATAAACCACAATAAAATTCCCAAATTCATATCTAAATTCTCATTCAAACTGTATTTGGTATGCGTAATTTGAAAAAAGCGTTTTGTTTGAAAACCAGAAGGCAGTGTGAGGTTTTACAACCGTTTACTGAGTGCTGAGGGAAATTAAATGAATGAATAAATGAATGAATGGGAACCAAATGTCTTCATTTTCTTTTCATCTTGCCTCTGTGTAATGACTAATAAAGTAGTGTTTATAAGCTCACTATCACTATTAGTAAAGCTGCTGGCACACCTTACCCCAAAGCACTTGTCACACTTTACCCCTTAGCTAACATTTTGGTAAAATTCTTTATTTGATTAATTCATGACTAGTCTTTAGCCAAAAAAAATAATAATCTACTGACACATCTTGCCTCAGAACCTCGTCAGTTTAATCGGTGATGACTTCCTACCTTTGTACTGTTTATGTGTACGCACTATATTTGAGAATAATGCATCAGTATCATTAGGTCCATGCTAATGCGAAGCTGGAGACTCTGCATTATCGAGCACACAGAATACATTAGATTTGATTCTGGAAATCTTTCCCAATTGAAATTGATGAGCTTCAGAATTGTTCTGGTTGACTGATGGAGTCGAACTGCTGTGGGTGAGTGTGTGTGGACAAGCTGAAGTCATAAACCTCTTCGTGAACCACATCATTGTGGCTTTACAATGGATTCAAACTCAATTGATGTCTGTTGGAGAGAAAGAGAGAGCGATGGTAAAAGTAAATCATGATGTTATGTCACACAAACCTTAAAAACCTAAATACAATCACAGTACAAGAAAAGAGACAACATATCAATGCAAACCGCCTGTTTGTGTGTACCTCCTGTCAGCGAGTGTGTGTCTGAAGAGGATGAGCTGGGACCAGAGCGGTATCGGTGATGCAGTGTGTGGAATGGGAAACAGGGAGAGTAATGGGAAGAATTTCTCCAATTTGGCTCCCTATTGATTTCTCCTTCTCTCCTTCCCCTGTCCTCTCACAGTCGCATGGAAGAAAAACACTAACATACAAGACGTCTCCTGGTTATGGGTGTGTGTTGACAAGAACCGAAGGGAAAAGACAAAGAGGCCGTGAGGAAGTTGTAAAACAGCCTGACGTGAGCATTAAGGTAATTTATTGTGTTAATTGTCTCAAAAAGAAAAGGTTCAATCATATTGTCTCGGATGTGAGGTAACTAAGGCCTGCTCCTTGGAAGGAAGCAGAGCTTCTTAAAGCTCCCTTGTCAGCAGTCTTGTGGTTAAACAGCTAAAATAGCGGGTCAGTTCAAAATCTTGATTAATTTATCATTAGATTAGTGAATGTGCTGCGCTTGGGTGACAAAGTTTAAACACACATTGTGACCTGCTGCGGGTTTGAATCCCTGCCCAGGTCTGGAGAAACTCAATTGGTAATTTTCAGAGTGGGTGAGCCGATCACAGCTAATACAATCAGCAGTTCTCAAAGCCATTACACCGAGGAATCTGACGGAAAAAGTGCGGACCTCTTGATCTGGATGTTTCCTTCAAGGTAATGATCAAGATTAAGGAAAGAAGGTACAGTATATGGCTGCCTTCATCAGTTTTGTTTTTAGTTTGCAGTTAGACGCTAGTCTATGAATGTCAAGTCTGCTGTCACTGGTGTGTAGTAATATATGGATAATAATTAGAAGTTGCTCAAGGAAATTGGAAGTAAAGGATGAACTGTCAGTTTAAATTTATTTTATAGCCTTAGGTTGGGATCTGTGAGGGGATTAAACATGTTGCTTTTACTTGGCTTGAACTTAATTCTTTTACATGATCCTTATCTCTAACTCGATAGTTCAGGGTTCCTCATCCTCAGAATTTAGTTCAGACACTAATTAAAAACACCTGAGTCAACTAATAGAGGTCTTTGGGTTTACTTCAAAATTACAGCTGGGTATGTTGGAGTACAGGAAAGTGGTTGTACACAGGAATGAGGAACCCTGCTATAGAAAGTACTTGATTTACAATAGTAGAGAGAAAACATCAAATCTGCTTTATGTCTCAGTCAATAGCAGTGTTGAAGAGTATTTTAAAGTTGTTTTAAAGGTTTTTAATGGGAATGAGAAAATTACATTTTTTGAGCTTTATGTCTGAGTTCTGTTACAAAATATTACAGTGTTGCTGAAATAACTTGTTGGAAATCAAATGATGGCAACATTAGTAGCATATGTTATTTTTTGTTTCAAATAATAAAAAGGGCAAGTTAAACTTTTATTGAAGAAATTAATGAAATTTTGTTTATATTGTGCTGTTATTGTCACGGTTGCCTACTGTGAGGAGCGAGGAATGAGGAAACGAGGGATTTCACACTGAACAGTCTTTAATAATCCACAGGAGGAAACCCAGGGTAGCCGGTAGCCACATGTAGTACAATTACGTTAAGAACCGACAAACACAGACTGCACAGACTGGGGCTAAAGACACAGGTGTATGGAATGACTAATTAAACTAAACGAGGACAGGAACAAGACCAAGTAAGGGAACACTAGAACAGAAACGGGCAAAACAGAACATAGACCTCCCGGAAGGTACGTCCTCGCACTGTAGAACAACAGAGGGAAGGACTGGATGGGAACTAAGGAGGAGGCTCAGAAGGAGGACGGACACCTGGGGAGACCAGGGAGGCGATGAAGGAGGGAGGAGACGGGAGGGGCCCGGAGCAGGAGGAGCCAAGCAGGACCTAGCCCACAGCCATGATGGCGACCCACGGTGGATCCGACGGAGGGAGGAGCCATGGAGGAGGAATGGCCGCTGACTCCAGGAGGCCGACCAATGGCGGCGGAGGAGCCTGAGGCGGAGAGCCAACGAGCCAGGGGGATGCCGAGGATCCGGGGGGCCAAGGTGGAGCCGAGGGCTCTGGCGACCGAGGCGGAGGCAGAGATCCGCGGAGGAGCCGGAGCGACTGAGGACCAAGGTCGAGCTGGCGGGAGGAAGGAGCCTAATAGAGCCAGTGGGATGGAGCAACGAGGTGCAGCCAGAGAAGCGGAGTCCTAAGGCGATGGCGGGTCGACGCCCGACCAATGTGGAGCCGGAGGGACAAGGGAGCCCGGTGGAGCTGGTGGATCGACGAGTGACGGTGGAGGCGAGAGAGCTAGAAGGAGGAGCCGCTGGGTCTATGGGCCGAGGCGGAGTCCGGGCCTCGGAGGCTGAAGGCGGAGGTGAGGGATTCTCCAGCCAAGGTGACGCTGGAGGATGGCAGACCCGTGTAGCTCGTACCGTAATGATGGTGGGCTGAGGACGAGCAGAGGGGCTGCCAGACGACAGCGGTGGTGGAGGCAGGAGCTGGTGGGAGGGTGGGCATTTGTGAGCCTCCGGGCATTCAGGGCTAAACTCTGGATCGGGAGCCCCCCCTTTAAGCTGAACATGGGGACAGGATTGCGCTCTGGAGGAGTGGACACTTGAGGGCGCTTTCGATGAGCGGGCACTGGAGGGTGCTCTGGACTGGATTCGGGGACTGGAGCCCTCTCCTCTTCGGTGTGGCACATTCGCCGCGCCATACTCCCAGGGTAGCCAGGAGACACATGTAGTACAATTACGTTAAGAACCGACAAACACAGACTGCACAGACTGGGGCTAAAGACACAGGTGTATGGAATGACTAATTAAACTAAACGAGGACAGGAACAAGACCAAGTAAGGGAACACTAGAACAGAAACGGGCAAAACAGAACATAGACCTCCCGGAAGGTACGTCCTCGCACTGTAGAACAACAGAGGGAAGGACTGGATGGGAACTAAGGAGGAGGCTCAGAAGGAGGACGGACACCTGGGGAGACCAGGGAGGCGATGAAGGAGGGAGGAGACGGGAGGGGCCCGGAGCAGGAGGAGCCAAGCAGGACCTAGCCCACAGCCATGATGGCGACCCACGGTGGATCCGACGGAGGGAGGAGCCATGGAGGAGGAATGGCCGCTGACTCCAGGAGGCCGACCAATGGCGGCGGGGGAGCCTGAGGCGGAGAGCCAACGAGCCAGGGGGATGCCGAGGATCCGGGGGGCCAAGGTGGAGCCGAGGGCTCTGGCGACCGAGGCGGATGCGGAGATAGGGTGGGAATTTGTCAGCCTCCGGGCATTCAGGGCTAAACTCTGGATCGGGAGCCCCCCCTTTAAGCTGAACATGGGGACAGGATTGCGCTCTGGAGGAGTGGACACTTGAGGGCGCTTTCGATGAGCGGGCACTGGAGGGTGCTCTGGACTGGATTCGGGGACTGGAGCCCTCTCCTCTTCGGTGTGGCACATTCGCCGCACCATACTCAGCTCACCCTCAGCAGCGGTGCAGGGGGCGGAGCTCCTCTCCGTGCTCACACAGTCCGTGGCTTTCTCCCTCGTGGCGGGCATTGTCGCCGGCTCTCGTAGAGATCCGCGGAGGAGCCGGAGCGACTGAGGACCAAGGTCGAGCTGGCGGGAGGAAGGAGCCTAATAGAGCCAGTGGGATGGAGCAACGAGGTGCAGCCAGAGAAGCGGAGTCCTAAGGCGATGGCGGGTCGACGCCCGACCAATGTGGAGCCGGAGGGACAAGGGAGCCCGGTGGAGCTGGTGGATCGACGAGTGACGGTGGAGGCGAGAGAGCTAGAAGGAGGAGCCGCTGGGTCTATGGGCCGAGGCGGAGTCCGGGCCTCGGAGGCTGAAGGCGGAGGTGAGGGATTCTCCAGCCAAGGCGACACTGTGAAATCCTCTCGAGGACCATCCTCGGACGATGGCGCTCTGGGTAGCTGGTGGTGCTAGCTAACAGCCGGAACAGTCTTGTATGGTCCTCGAGAGACCTGTCCCCCTGCTCCAGCAAGAGGAGGAGGAATTCCGGGCGGAAGAAGGGATCCATATCAACAACGGAAACAAAAGAAAACAGTCAGTACGTTTACATGGACAACAATACTCAGATTTTAATACGATTAAGACAATACTCTGATTAAGAATCTACCATGTAAACAGAGATTTTTGATTACCTTAAAAACAAACGGAGGGGAAACACACGGAGGTAACTGTTTTTGGTCGGTTCTTCTGTCACGGTTGCCTACTGTGAGGAACGAGGAAATGAGGGATTTCACACTGAACAGTCTTTAATAATCCACAGGAGGAAACACAGGGTAGCCAGGAGACACACGTAGTAGTACAATGACGTTAAGAACCAACAAACATAGACTGCACAGACTGGGGCTAAATACACAGGATAATTGGGAAGACACAGGTGTATGGGATGACTAATTAAACTAAACGAGGACAGGAACAAGACCAAATAAGGGAACACTAGAACAGAAACAGGGTCAAAACAGAACATAGACAGTCCAGAATCCTGACAGTTATATCCTTTCTATGTTACAAAATACATAATATAAAACATAAATAGAAAGACTGCTACTTTTTATATATTTTCTTATCTTATTGTTTTGAAACATGCTATTTGAGTCTAATTAGTGGTGTTGTAAATAGGCTAGTATTTGTAATACTTATTATACATGACCTTTCAAAGGTTTGGGGTCAGTAAGATTTTATTTTATTATTTTATTTTTTTAAGAACATTTTTCTTGAGCACTAACTCAGCATATTAGAATGATTTCTGAAGGATCATGTGACACTGAAGACTGGATTAATGATGCTGAAAATTCAGCTTTGCATCGCAGGAATAAATAGCATTTTTAAAATACATTAAAATAGGAAAGGTTTTTTTAATTGCAATATTTTACAATATTACTGTTTTACTATATTTTGTATCAAGTAGTTGCAGCCTTCTTTCAAGAACGTTAATCTTACCGACCACAAACCTTTAAACGGCATATAAAAATAGCGAATAGTGATAGATGTTATTCACACAAAGATTAAAATGTAATATTTGTACTAAATATCTAAGCAGTAGTGGCTAGAGTTGGTCTTTGCCAACAACATTGGATATTTGCACACATTATAACTAGACACTGCCTGTAATAAAACCGTGACAATTCTTTAAGAAAGTAATATTGATGGGACAGGTGGAAAAAAACAGCATTTGCTCACTCTCATGTCAAAAGCACATAACTTCAGAATTGTTTACAACCTGCTCTTTGTCTGTATTTTGCCTGGTCTCTAACTCTCTCTGTGTGTGTGTGTGTGTGTGTGTGTGTGTGTGTGTGCGCGC